TCCCTGCCTGCCGCCGCGGCCGTGGCCCCCGCGACCGCCGACGCCGCCCAGCTCGCCGCCGCGGCCGCCTTGGCATCGCCCCCGTCCTCCCTGCCCTTCTCGCGCGCCCGGCTGGAACGCGAGGTGCTGCCCATGCTCCGGATGCGCGAGTTCGCCGCCGCCCGCCTGTCGAGGGAGCACTCGCACTACTCGCTGCAGGCCCTGGCGCGCGCCTGGCGCTTCGGCCAGGCCCCGCTGCCTGACACCTTTGTGTTCCGCGTCTCGCGCCCGCGCGTGCGCCGCCCCATCCTCGGCCGGCTCTCCACCTTCTTCGACGTCCGCTGCTTCCTGGTGCCCGCCGACCCGTCCGGGGAGCAGCAGCAACAGCCCGTCGTCGACCTGTCCTCGCTCAAGGCCGACGACCTGGTCGAGGTCAGGCTCAAGAGCGTCGACCCGAGCACCCCGATTGTCCTGGTCGAGGCCGTTAGGAAGCTCGATGGCGGCGATAGTGTCGGTATAACGGATGGTCAAGCCCAGTAGTGATCATGTGGGTTTCGAAGAAAGGAGAGAGAATGTTGGGCGTCTCTACATGTCAAAGCGGCTCGCTCGCAAGACACGCATATGCAAAGTCCCGCAGTCAGATTAGAAAGAGGCCTTGGTCAACATGCATCACTTATTTGTATGTAAAGATATGTGTTGTATATATACATGTACATTCCACCTCAGTTTTCCCATTCCGGTTTGCCCGTTCCGTTTCCTTCCATCATTTATATCTATGTGCAACCCTCATTATGTGGCCGACTCAAGGAGCCAGGCCAGCCGACGATCGAGAAAAAGGAGTGAAAAAGAAAATTATCGGCGAAAAGACTGCCAAACCAGGCTGTCGAGCCCCCCTTGGAGCTGCGCTCTCTCGCCTGTCAAACTTTGCGCTTCCGCCGCTGTAACATGGGAACAATTCTGCCCAAGCCCGAACCCCCCAAGACGCCATGAAAAAACAGACCCGAAATCAAAGCAAAGAAACCAAGGGATAACGGTTGGGCAGGTTGGGCAGAAATGGGTTTGGCCCACCAACCCCCCCTCCGGTGCTCGAGGCTACCCAGCGGTTCCCCGGTAAGGATCGAGCTGAACTGGAAGTAAAACGTAAACGTGGAGATGACAGCCAGCAGCAAGGGAGGGGAGACAGAAAAAAAATCAGCCACGCTATGCCAGCGGTGGACGAAAGAGGAAAACCGAGAGAGGGAGGGAAAAAAAAACCCCCCAAAAAGAAAATGTTCATAGTAATGACAAGGGGGAAAAACTAGTGCGGTAACATCAGGCCATCCGTTGGCCAATGCTTTTGGGCGGCCGCCCCCAAGCAACCGAAACGAGGCACAGCGACCACCCGTCCGCTTCGCTCGCTCTTCTTGCATGCCGCTTGCAGATGGCCTTGCCCATTGTTGCAGTGCTCGCTCGCTCGCTGACTCGATGGGATCCTCTCTCGGCTAGGGTGATTGTCGACCTGCCGAGTTGTCTGCCGCTGTCCTCACCGCCTCAAGAGTGTGAAGGGGAAAAAAGACAGGGAAGATTTGATAACAGAAAACCGGACAGGAAGCGGGTGAAGCAACTGGAACCAATGAAAATGATTAGAAGCATCATTCTTCAGTCCAATCAATCGTCAGGCTCCATCCTATCCAGGCATAAACTTGACCTGGACATGTCCCGCGAGCAGAAATAAGCTGCAGAAAATTGGAGTAAGAGGGCTGGCAACCCTGTCTGTTGCTACCAGCCACAAGGAGACCAAAGAGAGATGGATAAAGACAGGTGGGAGAATGATACAAAAGGAGAGAGAAAAGAATTAACGCCGCCGATAACCCAGTTTTTAACTTTTCCCACCCCTTCCGAAAGAACGTTTTCCCCATCTCCCCTCGTGTATGATGACGCCTTCCATCTCCGCGTGTGCGATGACGCCTGGGAATAGATCCATCGCAAGGTCTTTCCTATTGGAAGGTCTTCTTTTTGCGCAAATAACAAGAACAAAATATGACAGGCTGTTTTCGGGGCAATATGTATGCAGTGGCATGGCAGATCTGGCCGTTCAATAGGACTAGCCTGGCTGACCAGCAAAACGACAAGGAAAAAAAAAGAAACCCGAGCACCATGAACACCGCTGCCGCGGCAGGCGGACAAGACAGGTAGAACCTGCCGGCCGATTAGCCTGCAAGTATATAAAAGAGATAAAAGGCCGCGACCAAGGCCTCATAAGAATGAATCGGAAGGTAGTGACAGCAAAAAGCGCACAAACTGGCAGTGCAATGACACGCCTGAATGAGGCCGGTGGTTGCAGAATTAAAGGGGCCAGCAGTCTAACATGTGCTCGAACAGCATTGCGTGGCGATCTCGAGATGCCATTATCGTGGGGGGTGTGGCATCGGAGCTTGAGTTTGCGTGTATGTATGATGGTTCGGGCGATCGGCTCGCCGGTGGATTTCGTCGATGGGCGTCTCGCGACTGTAAGGTTGAGTCCGGATCGTAAGGGGTCCTGTAAGGGGGGGCCATGTCTTCGAGAGCTGGCTGACGTGGCGCTAGAAAAAGGCGCAAGCCGATTTCTCCCGTCTCGTCCGGCCATTCTAACCCGGCCACAAGGAAGCCGGGGTGTGCCAGTCGTCCGGTTTCAACCGAAGCCATTGTCCAAAATATCCCCAGATTTCGAGCGCCCTCATATCCCAGCCCCTCGGCAATAGGCTCCCGGGTAGCAAGCAGAAAAGCCAAGTGGTTTGAAAGCAGCATATGCTGGGCAGCGTGTTGATGGCGGCAGTGTCTGAACAAAAATTCTTCGCGTCGTGCTGGGTATCAATGAGGAGGGAGGGGGAGGCGAGGCGAGCGGGGGCTAAAACAAAAACATTTTGCGTCCCTCTCACTTCCTCCAGCCCACGTTCCAAATGACATGAGCAATATCTCGGGCTGTGTTGACCGTATCAATGACCCGTCCGACAAGCCCACCATTGGTGGCCGGTGGGTCGCCTTCTTCGTAGGGCATTAACATACCAGATTCTGTTCGTCGCATTCCGGTCGGTTCTGCGGAAAGGCTGCTTGATGAGGTTGTCCGCTTTAGCCCGGATCCCGAAGACCCAGACAATGAGTCCGAGAGGCCTCTGGAGGAGCTGCCGCCGCCGCCCAGTAGAGACACGGCTGGCCGCGACCTCGAGGGCCCCATGGTGATGCCGTCGTCGTCGGAATCGTCATCGTCGCCCTCTTCGTCCCGGTTTTCCACATGTTGCTGCTCATCTTCATCATCGTCGTCGTCGTCGTCGTCATCGTCAGCAAATAACATGCCCTTGCCTGACGATTTGGACTTGGACGGCTTGAGCGTCTCTTGCGATGACGACGGAGTCAAGGTCGGACTCCTGTAGCTGTGCTTCATGGCCGTGGAAGCCTCTGGGGGCTCGGGAGTGTCCTCTCTGTACTTGAGAGTGGTCGAGGGGAGCATGGCAATGGTCTTCTCGCCGCTTGAGCTCTTGTTCCTCTTGAGCACCGGCCGGCGCTTCTTGATTGCCGTCCGCTTCATCATGATGGCGTCGTTGTCCGAGTCGCTGTCGTAGCCGGCGGGGTACCTATAATTATCAAAGTCCTCGTCGTCCTCCCCCTTGACTTCGACGGCGATGCACTGCTCGACCTCTTCTTTGAAGTGGATGTGCTTCCGTTCACCGGCCGGGGACTCGAGCCTTGACGAGGAGCTGGAGGTGATGTGGCTAGAGTTCCCAGGGCTGTGCCGGCGCGACGACAGCGGCAATGTTATATAATCAGTCGCCGCCCTCTCTAGCCTTGGCCGCAGCAACCGGCCGCCAGCCCCCTCCTTCTGCTGGGCTTGGACTGCCGCAGCCGCCTGCTTGACGAGCGACGAGGTTGATATTGACCTCTGCAGCATGACTTCCGACATGCTCCGCTTCTTCAGGATAGGCTTCTTGACGTGGGAGGGCGACTTGGGCATCGTGGCCTCGGACGACTCCCCCATGTTGGGGTCTAGCCCGGCGAAGCCGGTCTGCAGCGGTCCGTAGAGCCATGTCACATCGCAGTCCTTGAGCCTGTCCTGAGTGTTAGAGCAATACAATTCCGGGCTGTCATGAGAGAATGACCAAAGGCCGGGTAGAAGAGGCCATTGGGGGGTGAGAAATGCTCTCCGGGCAACGCACCAGTTCAGAGTCTCTGGAGAAATCGTCCGAAGCTTATTCTTCGACTTCATCCAGGTCCTCCACGAGGCGTTTTCTAGGCGCGCAGCATTGCTGTAGTCGGCTTTCCTGGCGACGATGTACTTCCAAGATTCCCAGATATCTTCCTCTCGCCAGTTATGGGACAGGTAGTCCACGTGGCGCGACGGTAATGCCCGTACGGCAATGTCATCGTCGGCGTGGTCGTAAAAGTCGGGGGTGACCGGGTGCGACGATTCCTCGGTTGTGGAAGTTTCATCACCGTTGGGGGAGACACTATATGAGTCGCCTGTCCTGGGACTCGGCGGGGGCTCGAGGTCCTCGACTTCGTTTAGGTAGCTTGCATCTGAGCCTGGGTATGCAAAGTCGCTGTCGTCTTCGTCGGGGATGGGTCGGTGGTGATGGCGTGTTGTGCGACGGGGCGGGGCGAGGTTCTGGGAGGATGTGCTCGTAACGCTACTGGTGGCGGTGGTGGGCGTGGAAGGATATGACAGGTCCGAGGAGTCGGGGTTCAGGATGTGAGGAGATAATGTCTCGGACGAGATGGCCGAGTCCGAGTAGACCTTGACGGGCTGATGAGCATAGGCGTCGCTTATTCGAGATGCCGAGGCGGAGGAGTGGAACGACGAATGTGATGAGCCAAACTTGGGCTGCGAGTGTGAGCGGCGCAGCGCCGAGGTCTGGAAATAGCTGTTGTCGTCGGTCTGCAGGACGACGGCCATGGTGGGCGAAATCGGATGGGTGCGAGATGGACAGCGATGTCCAACCTCATCGAACCAGTGAGCCCAACAGTCTGCGACAGTCCTCGAGCGGTGGTCGAGGTGAAGGAGGAGGAGAACAAGTGCCCGTCATGGACGACTTGCTTTTTTCTAGTATTTGTTTTTTCCCTGGGTATGTTACCTCCAGAAAGTTTGGACTTTGGGCTTTTAGGAGAAACGGGGGGCGAGTCTCGAGGAAAATAAAAGTGGCACCTGGCGGGTTCCAGTGCCCCGTTTTGCGCCTCGCGACTGGATCGTCCTTCTCCACCCGGGGTTGTTCTGGACGTTCTTCGATTCTGTGGGGTGCAGTGGCGCGTGGTCTGGTGAGGGCACGGGCGCCAGAAGGGTGCGGGCGGGTGGCTTGTTGGCACCGAACAAGGAAATTTTGTGGTCGTGCCAGACCCGGCTCTGATTTTCAATGCGACAAGGGCGGTGACGGCGGGGAGCCAGGGTGGTCTCAGGCGCTGTCTCCGAGTTTCCCAAATAACCTGCGCTGGTTGGACGGCTGGCTGGCCTGGGGCCGCTACGACTCGCCCGTGGGGGAATGCTGTGAATTGGATGGCCCAGGCTGGCTGGGGACGGCTGTGGTTGGACCGGGCTGGTCCCAGCAGCTGGAATTCGAATCGAACGTTTTACTCTCGACGCTGGCGCTCTATGGTGGGGAAGCTGGTCAGAAGGCAGTCGGTGGTGGTGCTCTCCCTTTTCATTTCCTCGCGCTGCCTTTTTCGTGTTTCGACGGGGCGTAGCCGAACGGGTGGGCAGAGGCTGGGCCAAAAAAAAAAAAAAAAAAGGGGCAAGGAGCGAGTCGGACGAGGAGGGGAGGCAAGATAAGAAATGCGACTGCTAGTGAGGAGGACGGGTGGGCGAGGTCTAGGGCGGGCCATCCAGAGGGGACCAGGTCGGGGACTGAGAGGGAAGGAGCGGATGGAACGCCGGTCAAGACGTCGCCCGTCCGGTAGGGCGGCACGCAGCGGCGGGCGGTGGGGGAGTACCGGGCTCGCAGGCGAAGAGGGAGGTGAGGTAGACGAGAGGTACCTACCTGGGCAGGGTCTAGAAGATGGTGGTTGCGTTGCGGGAGGGTGGGTGGCTGCCAACCTTGGCTGGCTCTCGATCTGCTCGCAGCAGGTGCGGGCGACTACGAGGGAGGGGGGAGCGGACGGTTGAATTGTCCGGCTCTTTTGGAAAGGGCACAAGGGAAAGCAAAGGAAAGATTAAAAGCCAGGAGACTGGATGTCGAGGGGAACGTAGATGGAAAAGGGAAGGAGGAGCTCCACCATCAAATGGAGCAGACGACGAGAGCTCGCGTAGCCTGTCCCCAGCCAGCAGCAGCGGGCAGGAAGCACATTCCCGGCTAGTGTGGCAAAGACCTTTTTGCTCGCGCTGCTTGGCTTTTTTGGGAGAGAGACGGGACAGTCACCCCCATGACAAAATCGTTGAGACCGCAAAATCAATTTTTTCCTACCAACTCCACCGCCCTCAATCCAACCCACGCACAACAAAGCCTCACAACGATGTCTAAAGAGTTTTCCACGCCTAAAAAAGCACGCGTGCAAGCCGTATGCGATTTCCTTGATACAGAAAAGCGTCCCTACAGTTACAATGCCGTCTACGATGGTTAGCCCCTTAGATTTTAGCCCCTTTTTTTT